CATTTAATGCGGATACAAGCTACACGTGTTTCTGGGTTTCCGAATCTGACATGCACATGTATTGATCAAAATAATGACAGAAAGGACTAGGCTCCATTCGTTCTGTAGGCATTCATGATAAACTGTGACAGGATTCGAACCGGTTATAATTTCCAAGGTGAAAGAGAAGAACATCGCTGGGCAGCTTTACGAGCGTTACTCTGAATCAGAAGAGGAGAAGAGCGTTGTAAGTGGGAAAAGGATCCCTATGGGGAGAAATCAATCGCTCCCAAGATTGTAAATCAGCGGTTGACTATAACAGTGAGGAGGATATCCTGAAAAACATGGATCAGAAATTTCNTGAACCCTGAGGAGAATACGACAGTAGATATTTTCGATATGATGGATGCCCAATCGAAGTGAAACACAATTTTGGTGCCTCCCAATAGAAGGGATTGAAATTGAGGTTTGGGCGTAAACAATGAAACACGACGGTTGATTAGTCAGAAACCAAGTGGAGAACAATTTGCCACATAAAAACAAGTGTGCTGTTTGCACACACACACACACACACACACACCTCCGTACATGTGCGTACATGTGTGAACTGTTCACTGTCCTGCAATGTCGTAAATGCGTCCGGTTGTGATAGTAGCTATTGTCTGGTTGCAAATAACCGTTGTGCAACAACAGGCCACAGACAGAATGAAATTTTGTCGCCTGTCGGTGTTTACGTGACCGGCGTAATTTTGTTTTTGTTTTTAACACCCGTCCCACTGACCTCGGCCTCCATTTGAAGATGCGAACTGGGGGTGGGGGAGGGATGAGGGGGTGGAGCTAGTCGAGTGTGACCCGCGTTAGATACGAAGTGATACACGGCAAACGCCCGGAATAGAAGATATACGAGGTCTGTGCAAACAAAAACGATAATCGTTGTGATTGATACAAGTTGATGAACTTGGTTCCAATCTCCCTCAACCCCGATAGACGCCATTCATCATTCAGTCTGGTGGTCACATGAGGGTGCATGTTTGTTTACAACGAAGGTGTGGATGGTGAAAATAGACTGTGCAAAAAGGGATGTGACACGAGTGTCTGATGTCATGCAGTTGCGGTCACCGTCGCTAGAATTGACGGTAGACAGATAATGAAGCAGACAGACGGGTTTTATTTAGGGTCATATGTGCCGTTTGAGGAATGATCTTGGTCGGGTCGGGAAGAAAAAACATTAATCGAGTGTTCTATAAACTTGACTATTGCTTATATAAATGAGCACCTATAGAAACTAAATTATTACGTAACACGAGTTTCTATGGCTCCAAGCGAAACCGCGGTGACTACACACACTGTGTCTGTTGTGACTGCTGTGAAACCGAATTCACATTTCTTTTTTTGGGGTGGGGATGGCCCGAGGGGGAGGTGGGGTGAGTGGAGGCACAAAGAAACCTCTAGCATTCACAAGAAACACCAATTATTGGCGACTAAGAAAATTATTTTCTGCTAGCTACGTCAATTTTAATGGGAACACATAAAGTAGGCGTGGTCGAGTGGTAAGGTCATCGATCTAACCACCTGGAGTCCTGAGTTCGAACCCAGCCACCCAGCCGCCCATCTTGACATCAACCCAGGTAGCCCGTACATGGCCAAATCCCTAATCCTGAAAGTTTATTGTACATTTCAATGATCAATAAACAGAAAAGGAAAGAAAAACATTTGTTTATTATTATTGTTATTATGGTTTGTTTTTGAATGAACAAATCCGATCAGCTGATTTTCAGAAAAGATTTAATAAGGTTATCTCAGGAGTAATGAGAAATAGGGGGCTTAGAAGTTGGTAATGGATTTCAACCTTCTATGTATCCTCTCGGAACGTGCTCAGACGCTGGCCAACACCTGTTCGCATTTCGGTGTACTGGATCAAGTCGTCTTCCCGTGTACAGTTTGAATCACATACGGAGCTTTGCTTTTTCACTTCAAACTTGCAAATCGTTTTCCTTTGGACTGGACTGCTCTGATTTCGTAAATTTATTCGTAAAATATTCCTATGGGCAATGTAGGAAACGGTGCTTGCGAAAAAATTTCTTTTGGATAAATCGCATCAGGTGATCACAACACTGATATCTGTCTGATTGACCGATTTCAGCACAGTTGATCACGATTCTAAAATCAATTCGCGTTAGCCTTGTCGCATTCACTTGTTCCGTGTGCTCGTCTCGGTCATCGTTATAAACTGACCTGTAATCAGCCAATCAGATATCAGGTCTACTACTCAAATGATCACCTTATATATGTTACCAACTGTGGCGATATATTGAAAAGAAATTTCTTACTGAACACAATAGAAAAATGCGAATTAGTTTTTCATATCCTTTTTCTAAAAATAATAATAATCAGCGCGGATAGCCGATCCGGATTTTGGTGAACAAATTGGGTTCTTTCCAGAGAAAAACAAACCAGTGCTGTGTGAGATATTCCTGTTTCCCACAAATAGGATATATCATTTCTGGGGTCAGACAATGCGTGATACGCGCAAATTACATGATCATTTCGGATCGTAAACCCGAGTTTGCCTTCAGTGAGCAACTGTCCTGTGGAATGGATGAAACTAGGCACAAGAGGATCGTAGATCAGACAATCTGGTCTGCTGTGCCTACTTGTTCTCTCTCTCTCTCTCTCGGTCCTTCCGCTTGTCTTGCTCACTGCACACACACACACACACATACACACACACAACGAAGGAAGAGAGCAAAACAGGTAACACACGTAATGTGATGCGTTGCGTGGCCGATGAGAACAGAACAGTTCACCGGGATCCGGCATCCCATCAGATGTTTATCTTCCCACCAAAAATGATTGATAGGGAGAAATTGGGAAGAAGATGGTCCTGACGAGCAGAGAACCATTGAAGACCGGGACTGTCATCATGTTTACTGTTGTGGATGCACAACACTGTGTTTGGGGGTGGGTGGGGTGTGTGNCCCCGCCACTACCACCACCACCACCATCACCACCAACAACGTCCTCAATCCTCCGTTTCGTTTTCCGACAACCTCATTCGACCGCGAAACTATTCCCGAATAGTGACTGTACTTGTTGTGCTATACATTCGCATTTCTACTTCCTTTTCTTTTATTAGAAATGCAAACATAGAATCAATTTTCTGGAATTGGAGAAAGCAGACTGTGTTGACGGGTTTTGAGCTTGGAACATCAAGCTCAGTGCTGTTCAGGCGACCTTATTCACTCAACAAGTTGCCAAATCCGGTGAGTAAAAAGAAACTTACTATTAATAATAATTTCAGTAGAGCCCCGGTTAACGAGATGAATGTGTGTGTGTGTGTGTGCACGAGAGACAGACAGAAAGAGCACGATTTCGTGTGACCGGCCGCGGTGGTTAAAATACTTTACATTTTCATTTTTAGGACGAACGAAATCTGGTTGTGTTGTCAGTTGCTACTCACATTTCTTTCTTTCAACAGTCAAAAATGAACAAGACTTTTTAGAGCGCAATAATAAATAAGGCCTGTTCTGTTCGTTATCCTTAGTGCTGTCGGGACTGGTGATGGCATGTTCAAAATGAGATATCTTGTTAGATGTACGCCTAATTATCCATACACCAACACCGGTGTTCTAGAATAATAACAGTTATACACTACCCTTCCTTATTGGGTTCCAATTCAAAAGCTGAAACTTATGCATTTCTTGCTTTCAATTGAGGGATCGGTGTCTTTTTCCCTTTTGCTTCGCAACGGTCATTCCTTCTTGGAGTGGAATTTTTCTTATTCTGCTCTGGTTACCAGGAGGCAAATGAGTTTTCACGATCGTTGTCCGGACAAAGTTGACAGAACCGAAATAAAACAACAAGTAACAACATATGAACAGCCTGAACTGGGAACTTGGTTTCACTATGCCAAGTCAACATCCTCGCTGAGGCACCGAGCCTGTGCTACATAATTGTTTCAGCTGCCCCCCCCCGCCAGCTAGGTGCTGTGTCCAGCAAGCTGTCGAGCGATGATCTGGCCAATGGGTGGGAGTGTTGTCAAACCGACCAATACAGTCGGTCCAGAGTTCAATTCACAAGGTTCTTCTGGTCCGCAACAGCAGCAGCAGCAGCAGCAGCGATTGCATATTGTTTTCTCTGATCTGAATGCACTATTTTTATGAGATCACTTCATATCAGTGTGTGGCAAATGATTGCTCACCCGAATGGTGAAATCAGATATTGATTTGGACCATCTTGAATTGTATGGTTTATCCTAAACTGGTAAACAGATTAAATATTTTTTTTAAAATACATACAATTCACGTTTTCAAACGAATCGGACAGAAACCAACCGTATTCATGATAGATACAGTGCCATTACATTATCAATACTATGACAAGGGCTCAAACACCGTTGACCTAATCTACGCCAGTTAGCCCTCACTCAGTGACCCACATGCACAGACACAACGCAGTTACGTCATCTGAGCTTGGCTCATGTTTGATTAACCAAACTGTGCTGTGTATGCGGCAATCAGATGACGAACCGTAAACAAGGGTGTATGTTAACCAGCTTTCTCTCTTGAGTTTGTCCACGGCTACCGAATTTCTGCATGTTAGGCCTCTACCGCATTCTTAATCTGACATATATTCCTCTAGGTTAGTTAGTTTTATGCGCCACAACATTCGGGCTGTACGATTTCTAGCCCGCCCTCTGCCTCCTCCCTGCCTCCCCTCCAAGTCTGTAAAGCCGTATCAGGACCACTCACTTTATAGTCTTGATCTTTGATCAGTTGACGCCCGTAGACGAGAACATCCGGTGCGGGTACCGCGGGTGAGTCGGACTGTATAGACTGGACTATGGATTCATTCGCCATGATTCGAGGAGCTTGACGACGATATCGGTTATAATTTGGGGCGCTCAACAGAATTTCCAGATGCGGTTCAACAAACACCTCCTGACTGTATTCAGCCGCTATGAATGTGTCCGGGTTCCACAACTGAGACGCATCACGTAGCTAAAGCGAATTGGGGCATAAAGATAAAAGGGGAATGAATGCTCAACTGCCAGGATCAAACAGTATCGGATACGTTAGCGAAAAATATTAAGAATTATGTTCACACGATTTTTTCAGTCAACTAATGTGGGTTTAAACAGGGGCCTCGAAGCCATGCAAGTGGCGTACACAAGGCGTATTGTCTAAAAGGCCACATCGATAGTACTGTAATTTTCACATTTAGATTGCCACAACCAGAATTACAGAGTCATGTGTAATCAGCAACCAGTATGCCTAGGTTCAAATCCCACCGAGCATTGAATAGTCATATAAATCAAACCTAAAACTGTCAAACAAAATTATTTTCTGGATATAAATGTTTCTAGATTTGACTCTTCAGAAACGAATCAATATAAAAGTATAATTCATTTTCGAGTATCATGCTTTCACATCGATAGTCATTTACTCTATCATTGAAATGTGCCTGATTCTCCATCTAAATTGTCGCCATCTTGGTTCTACGGATACAAGTTATAGTAGCCACGGAATGTGCGGCTCAAAATGAAAGAAATCTCTCATGAGATACGGGACAAAAGTTTGAAAAAATACAGCATTTTTGATGCTGACTGTTTGGATTAACCCATTCGATTTTTCACAGGCACCAGACTTGGTTTTGGGTTTCACAACGAAATTCTTTCGACAGCTGAATATAGGGCAAAAGCGGTCAAAGTGGATTATGATGGAGAATACAATTCAATTAGTCAAATACACTCCACCGATGGACCAAAGTGAGAATGCAGATTGATGAGTGTGACACTGCAGGCTTGAAATTCTCACGTGACTAACTGATCAAGTAAGCATAAATCAATGAACGAATCGTTAATTTGAATCACAAATGCACACAAACTTGTAAGCTTCGATCGAAAAAAAATTCGAACAAACGAAGATTCATATTTTCATCCACATCATGAATCATCTGTCTTGAGTTCACCGATTTGGTTCTTTTTTATTCTGAGCTTCGTAGGTGTAGTTGTCTTTGAATCCATCATCTTTTATGTCTCTAAGAGTTATGATTGCATTTTGAAAGCAGGAAATTGTATTCCTTTGAAGATGTATGCCCGTATCTACGATCGAAAGGGTGAGCGATTTGACGAGCTACTTCTAATCTGTGTCCGATAGTGAAAGGGCCTGATGAGATTGAAATGTGGTTGAAACGTTTGTGATAACCGACAAGGAGCACTGGACAGCTGTTTCCTGTCTCGCTCGGGACTCGTCAACAGTGTGGGTAAATTTTTGTGTCCCTGTTAGGACTTGAATCATGAACCTTCGGGTTGGGAATTCAAACCCTTAGTTTTGAGCCACACCGTCGGCGACCATCCCCGTCTGTCTGATGAAATTTGATCAAATAAGCACATTCTGTACGCTATATGTAGAGATCGAGATGAAATTGGTGTTTTTCAACATCCCAGATTCACAACCCAAGTGTTCTTCATAGACCAAGTGCAAATTAAACTTTTATTATTTGGATGGATTCAGTTCTGAACAGCGATTTATGATTGGCCACATTTAAGTGTGATCACGTGGAACATCCCGCATAGTCAAATGGATCAATAAACCAATACCTGTGCACTTGCTGTGGCATATATTACACATGTCACGTGATACACTTCACGACTTGTCATGATTGACGAGGCGGGTAGTGAACGGAAAAAGTCAAGGGTTATCAGACTAAAACCTAGTATGACCGTGTAAACCCCTTGATCATATGTGAATCGCGTTAGGCTTACTGGACAGGGACCTGTGGAACAATTTAACCAAGGGTTAGAGATATTGCGTGATATGGCTTAGGGTTGCACACAGTGAACCCGTTTTCATCTGCTCATTATCCGTGAATCCTTTGTCCATGTGAGTTCTTTAATTTCAACATTCGGTTAACTCCTTCATCCGAACGGATAGCCCAAATACAGCAATTTAAACCAATCTGTGAGTGTGTATGAATGTTAGATAGA